TCGATGCGCAAGGTCGTGGACGTGCTAACACATCCGTTGACGAAGTTGGCGACCCATGCGAGGGATAGCTGAATCGTCATGCACGATAGGCCCTTGGAATCCTGACTGCGAATCCTGCAGGCCAGATGACGTTCGTGCCGTTGACGCTCCAGAGTCGATGATGCGCTGCTCGGAAGCGACGACTCCTCCGTTCGGCTAGACCGCAGCCACGTCCGCGACACCATGTCGACTGCAGCTGCATGTTGAATCGTCCACGATACAAATAACAACTCTCTCTTGTCCTTTGCAACAGTCTCGTTGGCTGTGACTTTTGCAACGACGGAGATGACTGCGATGCCCCTGTTCATCTACGTACCAGCGCCATGGCCATGAAGATCTGCGCCACCTCCGCAATACCGGCAACAGGAGCAGGTGGTGGCGTCGGAGGCTTGGCTGAGTAGGAGACCTGGACGGCTCCTTTCGGGACGAATACATTACTTTCTAGCACAATAGCAAGCTCGCTCGCTATCTTTACGCAATAGCGACATCATCAAGTGCCATCGATATCACAGCCGATCGGCCGACGACGTCAGCGACTCCATCATGTTGGCCGCGGCGGAGGCTTCGGATTCATCCAACGACCACCGCGCGGTCGTGAGTTCGTCGCTGCCGCCACGTGAGTTCGTCGCTGCCGCCACCGTCCTTGTCCTCGACATCTTCCGGACCGAGCATCACCATCTCGACCGCTTCCTGCGAACTTGACTGCGACTGCAACGGGTGCGAGTTGCGCGAACACAACTGGCACACGCGAATGCGACGCACTTGGCCACCCTTGGTGCGCACAGACCAGAGCGGGGCGCACTTGTGGCACATGACCTCGCCGCATTTCCGACATCGCGCGGGGGGTTTGAACACAAGTCGAAATTTGGTGAGGCATACGACGCAGTGCCGCCGGCTCGACTTGGACACGACCTCGTGGTCCAGGAGGAACTCTTGCTCGTCCATGCGGCTTTCGCTGACGAGCTGCGCGATGGCGTGAAACCCGCGGCACCACAGCTTGATCCGGAGATCAATGAGCCACGTCGGGAGTTTGCCTTTCAAGTCGACTTGTTGCAGCTGCACCGCCGACAGGACGCCGGGGGCGTCGGTCTCGACAAAGACAAACCCCCCGCCATGTTGGTAGCCACGGACGATATTGAACGACTCTTCGAACGTCGGGACACACGCCAGATCGATGGACCGCATGGACCGCGCAAACCCGCGCTTGCCGTTAATATCAAAATCCAAGTTGCTCTACGCCACAAACGTCAGATGCGGACAACGTGTCGACGGCGTGTACTTCGAGGCAGCAGTAGTCGCGCGGCCGCGACAGAGCTGGAACGGCGGACTTCATGAGGTAGTATCGGATCGCAACGAGGCGATTGGGAAAGTCGGGTGTTGGCGTCGCCAGCGCGTACAGCAGGTGAATTTCGTGTGCGTCTTGGGCAAGGGTGCGGCGAAATTGATGGAGCTCCTCCTGTGTAGACGCGGCAAACAGCGTCGTGATTTCCGCCAACGTCGCTTCTAGCTCCATCGTGGCCATATACGAGATGACGCCGGGTGGAGCGGTCGGGTTCGACCCTTTGTAGATGGTGCACGCGCCACGACCTGGCGGCACGCCGACTCGGTTCGTCATCGTTGGCCGTTCGACAACTCCTGCTGGAGTCCACTGGACGACGCCCCCATCTAGCTGCGCTGCTGCGATCTACAACGGCAACATGAGGTGGACGGGTTTCCATCGATGGATCGGCTAACGGCACATACCACGTCACGTGTGGTTACTTCGGCCAGGCGAAAGTACTTGTCGACATCGTGCGGCTGCAGCGGCGGTTGGAGAAAGTAGTTGGGTGGCAGCGGCAGCGGCGGCAGGCCCATGGTCAATTGCCTCGAAAGGGAAATGCATGTCGCCACCGTGCGGCGACGACAACGCACTGCGTGGAACGGGTCCGAGGCGACGATCCCACTCTTCGTCGCGCCGCCGCGCAAGGGAAGTGGTCGATTGATATGCACCTGGGTGCAGCTCAAGCTTGGCTTGGTGCTCTTCGTTGTCAGAATTTTGACGGGCCGTATATATTATTGACTGACAAAGCATACCTATCCCGGATGGGTTAAAATGACCAACTACATTACATTGGTCGAAATACAAATATCAAGTGTCAGTGGAATATAGTGCATTATTTTGACAGATATGTGAGAGCCGTCAACCAATTGACATACTTGAAGTTCTATGGAGAATTCGTCAAATATGTTGATACCAAGATAATTGGTTGGGCCGAGGGGGGGCAAAAGCGCCACCGCGTGCGGCGCCTGTCGACGCGACAGAGGTGGCGATTCCCGGCCGGCGCGACCACTGGGCATTACATCGTGACTTGCGCAGATCCCTCCCAGTTGATTTGCTAGCACCCAAAGCCGACCGGCTCTGCGCCTTCCGTTGTGGACTGATTGGACATGGGTGTGCACGTAATGGCTCCACGCGTCTTGCCAAGAGTACCATCTCTCCGCTCGAGCTGCTGCTTTCTGAGTTTGTCCTGCGCTCGAGCCTCGGGTGGATCTGTTGCCTTGAAACGAACGTGGATGGGTCGGCCACCCACCAGTCAGTGCGTCGAGGATGTGTTCGGAACAAGTTGCGTCAGCTCCGTCGCATGGAATCGCGTCGCCGAGCCGGCTGGGTTTGGGTACACATGCATTCGCTTGGGGTGGCGGAAAATGCTCACATGCAACGCCGGTGTGGGTGCTGGAGCAATGGTATGGGTGCAGGACGATGCCTCGGCGCTCCTACGGGCCGAGGCAGCATCCCCAACTCGACCCATCCATTACGATCAGACAAAAACGTCCCTCCAGCAGCGCGGCCACATCGGTCGACTCGGTGCTGGAAGCAACGAATTTTCGTTTTCAGTGGCGATTACCCTACGATCGCATTGTGTTGAAGTAGCGCAAACTCAAGTGCAGGACGGGGGTGCCTTCGTCCGCCTCGACGAGCGGAAATGCGACTGGCGCTTCCTTGGGCAACTTGGCATGCTCTCGCGACTCGCTCGCACTGAAGCTACCAGTGCTCACTTGGGACTGACTGGTTTGGTGGGGGACCGTCTCCGACACGTAGCTGGCTCGGCTCTCCTCTTCAAAAATCGTCGCCGCGCGCTGGAACGCTTGTTCCCACCCTGCCTCATGCGTTGTCAACGCGGGCGATTTGGATTTGCTGGGCTTGGGCGGGTCCAAACTCTGTTCAAAGATCGACCCGTGGTGCACTTTGCGCGTCTTGAGGTGGTCTTTAATCGTCGCATTGCACTTGAATCGCTTTGGCATGGCGGAAAACTTTTCGTACACTTCTTCCATCGTCAAGTACAATTTTCCGAGCAACTTGCGCGGCAGCGGCTTGCGCTTGTGCACCACATTGAACACCAACACCATGTCGAGGTTGGTCACGTCCACAATGCGCGACTGGTTCAGGTCGGCGACCCCCATCGCGTGCCGCTTGATTTTGGATTTGAATTTGTCCACTTCTTTGCCGATTCGCTTGGAAATGGGCGTCAGCGCGTCGCCGGGGACGAGCTCGTGCAGCCCCACATACACTTTGACGTTGGACTTGAGCGGAACGCCAGTCACTTTGACAACGAGGATTTCCATTTCAGCCAGGAGCGGCGAATCTTCTATCGATTTGAGCGCGCCTTTGCGGGCGATTCGCCGCGTGCCTTCAAAATGCTTCTCGTCCATCAAGTGGGTCGTGTTGTGCACCGACTGACTCAGTTTTTCGACCACTCCGAGGACGCCGATGAACGGTGACGCGACCAGCCCGACCGCCCCTTGACCGACGCCCTTGGCAAACCCGCCAAACCCATTTTCTTTCATTCCGTCCATCGGTTTCGTCACGAGGCCAGACACCCCATGCGCCAAAGTCTTTCCGAGCACAATGCCGCTTTGGAGCATGCCTTCGGGCAAATGGCGCGGCTCCGACTCGCTCTCTTGGCTTTCAAAATGGGTAGCCTTCTTCAAAATGTCACCCACGCCGTTGCTCGCCTTCCCAATCGCTTCACTGGGAGCGCCAATCAAGGTTTGCATCAACGTCACTGCTCCCTGACCCTTGTGTCGGCTCTTGCCTTTGAAGTCACGCTTTGTCTGCCGCACGGCCAGCGCCAACCCGTCTGTAAACTAAACACATTCAAAGTTAGACAAGACGGCATCGACTCTGTCGATCGCGCACCTCGTGCAACAGTCCAACGGGGTCGCCCAGCACTTCAATGCTGCCCACAACCTTGTACCATTGACTGATGCAGCTTCCGACAATCGTGTCGTAAATGACCGTGTTCCACAAAAAGTCGTCGTAGTAGATGAACCGGTCGTCGCGCGTGATGCCCCGAATGACAAACTCGGGCGCGATGTGGGCAATGCCGCCAATGATGCTGCCGGCCGTGCTGCCGAGCATCTTGGACAGCCCCGACTCCGAGTCTTCTGGTGCAGAGTGGAGCACCACGTTCAACCGATACGGTTCAATGTCGCAGTGCTTGAAGTACATGAGCTGACCCAGCATGGCCGCGTCCGGGACCTCGAGGCGTCGGTGGAGGAGTTGCTCGACTGCAATCTTGCCAGCCAATTCGACTTCATCGGCCGTTTGCGGCGGGTACAAAATCGACCAAAACACGTCCAAGAGGTGCAAAATGTAGTCCAGATTCAACTTGATGTCGAGGCTCCCCATCGCCACAATGAATTCGTCGAGGATCATCATGCTCCCGTCCGTGTAGCTGTCGACAACCATGTGGAACCACGGATGCTCACCGTCTTCCACCAGCCATCCTACGCACGCGACTGCATGAAAAAACAACGCATCCAGGCAACAACCCTCTCGTCCCGCACCTTCTTTCTTGTGACTGTTGTATCCTGAATCGGTCGGACAAATCACGACGGGAAACATCGGGCGAACCGTCATGTCGTCAATTTGAAAGTGGTGCAGATCGTACGTCATGCAGTTCGAGTGGGCCGGGGACATCACGTGGAGCCCGTCCAGAGTCAAGTTCATCACTTCATGCGGCGTGCTGTCCACCATTGTGATACCAATGCCGTGGAGGCCGACGTCGAGCAGCATGTCGCGAAACACGTCGTCGTCGGCAAGACGCCGATGCTCCTGGAACACAGGCTCGTCGCCAACGGCGAGGACGCGCGTATTGCCATCGATGTAGACTTCGCCATGGAGTTGTGTGCGTCCGCCGTCCGGAGATAGCGTGCTGAGCTTGGTCATGTGCATCAAGTCGACGTGCAGCGTCGAGTGGGACGACCCCACATACACTTTGAGCTTGAGATCCGCTTCAAACGGGCTGTCCCACGCATAAGAATGCCACCGCATCGGGGGTACCACTCGTTCCTGCGCGTGTTTCACTCCTAGTTGGACATAGCGCAGGGCATATTGCGTCGATCGGTTTTCAATGCGAATCGCGGGAGACAACGTCCGGTCCTTCACCAGCACAAACGTCGTCGCCGACGTGGCTCCTACACACACAAGTCACAACCAAACATGACGTTGGGTGTACGAACCGCTGGGCTGCACGTCCATTTCAATGTATGGCGCCGCGCCGAGGGGGCTGCGGAGCCACATGCAGGTAGATTGCTTGAGGTTTAGCGGCACGGGCGGTGCCCACGGTCCTGGCTCTGTCCACGATTTATGCACCAAAGCATCGCGGCAGCGCAAGGCTGGCACGTGCTTCTCTTTCCCGACAAAGCGGTACACAATCAATGCGTCCTGAGGCTTGAGCATGACGTTGATTTTAGCCACGTCGACGGGAAGGAATTTTGTGACCGTGAGCGGAGTAAACTGGAGCGGACGGTCAACGTGGTTAACCACAACATATCTCGGCAAGATCACGACAACTTTCGACAGCTCAAACTGACTCGGCGCGGCTGCAATCTCGTACCCCAACACACAATCGGTCGTGCCACACGAGAGTTCGCTATACGTGCCGACCGCGGAAATGTCGACAGGCTGCGAAAACTTGAGTGCTTTGAAGTCGGGGAGGTACTTGCGGACTTTCGGCCCGACCTCGCCGGACACGTTGCCCTTGGGCGGCAACAGGTGGTCCTGAAAGTCGTTGTCGTGTGGTGTGGGTTGGTACGGCAGCACGGCCAACGAAGCTTTCGTCGGAGGCGCTTGGACAAGCAAAGGGACGGTGTGGAACCCACGGCCAAAGTACGCAGCGTGCTCGTCCCACGTGCAATGGTTGCCGTTTGAGATTTTGTAGCGTAAGTCGAGACCCGATCGGTTTTGTATCCAAAACGGGACGTAAAACTCCATCGTGCGCGGGATTTGGTGCTTGGTGGACCACGAGTGCTTCACCTGAACGGTCGGTCCGTGGGGAATCTCCATGGACGACGTAAAGTTGAACTTGTCCTCGGCGGCGGCAGTGATTGGAACTTGAAAGGTCGGAAACCAGTCTCCCACGGGCTCTCCTTCGGTCACCATCAGCCGGACCTTCATATATGCTGGCTCGCTCAGATTCAAGCCAGACACTTGCATCGTTGCGCCGCTAGCGATTGTCATGTGCCGGCCGTTGATCTCGTTGATGCTTGAGAACCACCAATCCTTGTCCACGCGGGAGATCGTGACGTTGTTGGCCCCAGGTCCGCCCACGCCGTCCTTGTACACGTCTTCGTGCTGGACGATCATGTACTCGAGCACACACGGCAGTGTGTTTTGCACAATCAGCTGCGGCCGCAGTACAATGGCCCAAGCGCTGTCGCCGATCCGCTCAATTGTGGTCGGTTGGTCGTCAATGTTGATGTGCTTCGTCACACTCTGACGCGTTTGGCGACCGGGCCAGACCGTCAGGGGGAGGGCATTGCTCCACGACTCCTCGCCAACTTGTCGAATGCGGAAAAAGCCGTGCTCGATCAGTGGCAATGGGATGCTGTAGTTCGAGTACGGGGCAATCGTGACAAACCGCTCCATCACACCCTCCTGCGCAGGATTCAGATCCGACACGGCCATGCCGTCGTCGTGCAAGAGGACTTGCGTCACTTTCGCTGTTTCGTTTCGAATATATTCGGCCGTCTTGATTGTGACAGTCATCCCGTGTGTGTTGTCGACTGTGATATGCACCGCCAGCAGCCGCGGACAAAAGTTGGGCTCATGGGTGTCCAAAAACGACCGGGTCCAGCTGTAGCCGGGCTTTTGCTCCTCCACCAAGTGCATGAGGTGGACGCCGCGGTTCAAGTCGTCCACCGACACCTCCTCTTGCGTCAAGTACGTCTTGCCTGCGTTGTACATGCTCTCGACGTCGTCGTAGATGAAGGGGATTGTGATGCGGGGAATGAGTTCGACGACCATGTCTTCACCCAATCCGTCCAGCGCGAGCCCATGGATCGGCTCGTATCCGTCGATTTCGATGCTGAGCGTGCGCTGCGCCACCGTGCGAGTCTTGGCTAGCGCTAGTTGAAACTCCTTCCAGCTGACGGTTCCCGACCCATCCGAGTCCGCCAGCAGCATAAACGCTTCGACTTGTTTGTCGATTTCCGCCGACGTCAATTCGTCGTACGACTTGAGCACCGATCGCAACACCTCATGTACTTCGTCACGCTCCAGTTCGCCACTGTGGTCCTTGTCAGCGGCCCGGAACGCCGCGCGCATTTCCTTCTCCTTCATGTTCTCCGCCATCGCGCCCTTCAAGTCTTCCTCTTCGTTAAGCAAGCGGCAAACCGCATAGTGCAGCGAGTGCACCGTGACTTTTTCCGACGCCAGTTCGACAAGCGTGGCCTGCCGCGACTGCACGTAGTACGTAAACGGCGTACCGACTTCATTGCAGATCCAGCAAAGTCCCTTCAGCACCTTGATGTGTTCGCGCTCGACAGCGTCGTGGCTCGACGTAGCGTCGTAAAAGGCAGCTTGGGTGGCGGTCAGCACCTTCATGAACGTCGCCGTCACATTCATTTGCAAATGGTAGTCCGACACGAGGTAACATGCCATATCTTGGTCGGGTTCCTTCTTGATGGCCATTTGAAGAGGGTAGTACTCGATAAAGGGCTCGAGCTGCCGGGCCGACGTGTTGTAGTACTTGCAATACAGGGCTGTGTGGAACGTGAGCACGGCCGAGTCTATCGCTTGCTTCATGTTGTTCTCTTTGGTCGTGACGATTCCATGGAGTTGGACATCTTCCAAAGCAAACTCGAGGGCCGGCGTGTGGGCTGGGAGCATCTTGTCTACCATGCGAAAGTAAAACCCGCCAAATTCCGTGTGCAGTTCGGTCCGGATCGTGACCGGAGTTTGCGCGTACTGGGCCAAGTCGATGCCGGTCACAGGGGACGTCGACGCTTTCAGCGCAGATGCGGCAGCTTTGTCCAACGTGCCGCCACCGTCCTTGGTCAACATCTTTTCAAACTGGGATACGCCCGCGCCAGCCACTTCGTGTGGCAGAATCAACCAAGGGCACTGTTCGGCAGGCTTCAACCTCGGGTTCACCAACACATTCCACGTCTCTTGAGCGTACTCGTAGCTCTTGAACACGCGAATCATCTTTTCTTGGACGACGCGCGGCGACTGTTGCTGCAACGACGTCCTTGTCGCACCTGTCTGCATCTCGTACTTTTTCCAAAAAACAGCAAACACTGCGGAGTCCTTCAAGTGTACGGGAAGGCCCGACGCACGATGCACCCTAGGTACGTGGTTGCGTCGCAGCCGCGGGTTCGAGTACTCTTGCGCCGTCAGCTGGACAGTTCCTTCGTGGAGAAGCACGTACGGGGGCTCCTTGGGGTTCAGCGCGGCTTCAAATTCGTCAAAACTCACGTCCCCGCTCTGGTCTGTGTCGACTTGCTTCACGAGGGTGTCGTGGCACAGCTGCGCCTCATCTGTCGTCAGGCCCATGTCTGCTACGAGAAGCTGGACGAGCTGCATCAGCTCGCCATGGTCGAGCGATCCGCCGCCGTCCGTATCGAGTGCGTCGAATTGCTGTCGCAACCGAGTCGTCTGTTCTTCTTGCAAGCGCCGCTTGCGCGCTTCGGCAACTCGCTTTCCCTTTTCTTGCGCGGCTTCCACAATCTCCACTGACACCTCCATCTGGTCGCCCAGTCGCGCTTGAATCGCGCCAAACAATCCAATGTCTTCCTTGGACACGTTTAAGGCAAAGTCCGACACTTTCAGGCGAAGTGTTCGCTCGGCCACCACAGTGTCTTGGTCCGTGGAGTTGGAAACGGCGGGAAGAGCTGGCGGGCCGCCTACAGCCACCACCGACGTCGACGCATTGGGCAAATTTCCATCGTCCATGGCTTTCTTGAGCACCCCCCATGCCCGCTTTGTTTCGGCTTTTACCGCGGATGCCGACTGCGTCACCTTGGTGGGGTCGTCCAGTGCTTGAGGTCGGGGAGGCAGACGCATCTCGTAGTGCACTTCGACGTCGACACCGTCGCCTTCAAGTTCGAGCAGCGTTCGAAGACCGGGAAGCTCCAGATCAATACCGTCGACTGTCGTTTGCACCTTGCATGGCTGGAGCGCAACGTCCGACATGGCAATCGTGATCGATTCAAAGCCGCCGTGGTTGCTTTGGGCAGACACGTCCACGTCGCACGTGAGCGCGAGAATGTGCGATTGAAACGAAGACGGGTCGGCGAGCAAGCACAGTTCGCACCCCTTGAGTTGTATGGTCGCGTCGAGCCCCATGCTTTGAAGCAACGTTGGATTGTAAAGGCCGTCCACTTGCGTGGCGTACACAACAGGCGGCGGCGGCGGTGGCGGAACTTCGTCTTCTTTCCACACGAGCACGTCTTCGTCCTCGTCCAGGGTCAAGGCCTTCAATGCTTCGAATAGCGGACTTGTGATAAGCAAAAACGAAAAGTTCGCCATGACAAAGGTCACTGTCGTGTTGGAGGTTGCGTTGCTGTCGGCGGTGTCCCCCGACTCGACACGATACCCCACGCGGATCATGTCATTGCAGTCGGGGTTGCGTCCCAGGATATGTGGGTAGACGTTGGCTGATGAGTTGCGCAGGTCCTGCAGCCCAATGCTGCGGACGACGAGGTCGAGTACCATGGTAGCAGGGGTCGTTTTCACGGTCGTGGCCATGTTGTCCAAGTAAAACTCCACCAACGGGGCAGCATGACTCGACCAGCACTGCACACTCACGTGATCCATTGCTACGACGACCGCCAGTTCGTTCAAGAAGGGCGGGGAGGGAGTCGTCTTCGGCAGGTAATGCTCAATAGGGGTGACCAGGAACTTCTCCAAGTCGGCTGCCGCTTTCGTCTTGCTTGAGACGTGGGGCAATGCGTCTCCAAATGACGGAATCGACCACTCCATGGCGTCGCGACGTAGCGCGATCAAGTCCATGACCAGACTCTTGGCTTCCACCGCTACCAACCGAGCTAAACGGTGTTTTTCTTCTTCTATTTCGTCGATTTCGACAGATCGGCCAAGAAGGGCAGACAACTGACGGTGCAGCGCCATCCGCACCTTTTGCACGACTCCAAGCTTGGTGTACTCGATGTGGCCCTTGTAATCGGCCATGTACGCGACTGGATCGGCAATTTCGGTGCAGTGGAATTGATCTGCCAGCGTCGCTTGAGCACTCCAAATTGCGTGGTCGGCCATAGGCACTAAGATTGCATTTAGCGTCACCATTTGAGCCGGCTCAATGGCGAGTTGAAGCTGAGGGCACTCGACTGTGACATTCACGTCTTTGTTCGTCTTCAGGAGGCCTTGCATCACCGGTGCATATTCGGCAACAATGCGCAGGTCGAATGGATCCAAGGCGTAGGTGGCGGACGATCTGGTGAGGCTGGCCTTGACTTCTTGCGGATTAATGGCCATGCCGACGCCAAGCAACTCGATCTGTCGCGATTCTAGCAGGGGGTCCAAAACTCGCGAAGTACACAGTCGAAACGCCGACCATTGGAACGTCATTGATCCTGTAATAGGGGCGTACAACACCACTGCGATGTTCGTGAACGAGACCTGGACTTTCTGGGCAATGGCATCCACAACGACTTCGTGGAAACTCGCAGACGACGAGGGACTAGCAGTCTTGGTGGGAGTCGAAGGATGAGGTGCCACGGCGAGAGATGCTAGTTTATGCAGGATAAGCATAGTGTGCGCTTGAAGGAGCTGCAGACGCGCGTGTTTGGCGTCAGCGACGGCGGCGGCAAACCGCTCCTTGTTGTCCTGTACTTTCCATCGCCACTTCATGGCAGGGTCAATCTGGAGTGCAACATGGAGCCCGTCGATTTCCAAGCCCCACGTTGGAAGTGCGTCGAGCTGGCGTGTGATTGCCTTGAGCAGAAATGTGAAAATGGGCACCGTCAGCGACAAGCGGCGAAGTGTTGATTTGTCCACGGTGGCAGGGAGGTACGGCGTGATTTGAGGATCCAACGTGGACGGAGACAGCACGACGTTCTCCACAACTAACGAGCCCTGCAGGAAAGACCATCGAATACTGATAGAGGGACCAACGATCGAGGAGGCACCAACGCGCAGGGCAAACGTGAGTACGTAATCCCCCAACGACACAACCAGTGTGGAGACGCCAAGCACCGTAAGCATACCATACCACGTGAACGTCCACAGGTACGACATCAGCCACCACACCCACCGGTCCATGAGGTCCACGAGCATCGTGGCGACGAATGCGATGGACACAACACGCTTTCCGTGGAGATATGGCCGTTCATTCGCGGTCAACGTGGGTAATCCGGATAATCTCCACGTAACGTTACTTCAACCTCCGGATACGATTCGCAACCGGACGAATCCCCGACGAAGTGGCCAAGGATATGATGCAATATTTCATTGTCGACATATCACGGGAAACTTGAATTTAGCATTGCAATGCAAAACGTCGCCAAGTGCGTTCATTTTATGACCCTCCACGACCAGCCGTTTTGAACAAATCACAGCTGCCATCACACTTTACCCATGTAGCAGTCGTGCGGGCAGGTGACGCTAGAAATATGCGATGTGTGTGCTTACATATGCATTGCGAGAGGTTGGCGCGCGCGACATCTGTGTGTCTCGTTGGTGCAGTTGGAATGCCAACGCGCGATGTCCGTGGTCGAGGCGTACCCAACGGTCAGTTGTGACATTTGCGACATTTCATGCTAATGAGATGGAGTAAAGCCGGGGGAACGCCTCTATGGCGTGTGGGGAAGGTTCGCCATGTCTTTGTCGGCATCAACGCTGTAACCTGTGGATGCCGTCGGCAACTCTTCTCGTTTGTGTGTTTTCTTCGCGCTCCGACTACAGTGTCCCGAATGCAATTTGTCATGATTTGATTGGATAATAGTGAATGAATAATTTATTGGACCGTTGGCGTAGTACTACTACTAGGACTACTATGCCATCTCTTCTATAGTAGGTCTCTGGAAGTGAATACTGTTTTTGAGAGAACAACTCGTCCCAAGTGCAGCCACACCTTTGAGGCAGCAGCACGATGTCGTACCCGCAGCATGGAGGAGGAGTGCCATCTTCAGGCAAACGACAGTATGGAGGGAACTCCGGTGAGATGAATGATCAGAAGCGCTATCGACAGAGTGAGGATGGAGGTAGCAACAGCAATCCGTCCCGGGCGATCGTTGTGCGCGGCCTTCCTAACGACTGTCTCGAGAGCGAACTCCTGGCACTTGTGGGTCCGTTTGCGACCGTGGAAAAGTGCGTCTTGTCCCCTTCGAAGAACGAAGCGCTTGTGCACTTGCCCGACTTGGACTCGGCGACGAACCTCGTGACGTTCTATCAAAAACGTGATGCACTTCTCCGGGGACAGAAGGTCGTGTTCTCATATGCACCTCCGAGTCGCGATTCGTACGCTTCCTCTTCACATACCTCATCCTCTGGTCCTCCACAATCTTCCTCTCGCAACAGCTACAACAATGGCCCGTCTTCTTCCTCACGCCCACCGCCGCAGCAACAATCATCGACGTATGACCGTCCGCGTTCCGAATCTCGCTCAGATCGCTATCCTCCGTCGTCTTCTGGTGTCGACCGTCGCAGCGACTTGGGCCCTCCGCCTTCTTTGAACTCATACGATTACCGCCGAGGCGGACACTCGTCTCCTTCGACATACGACCGCTCCCGTGCTCCACCTCCACAATCGTCCGAGTTTGACCGACGCCATGAAGGACCTCCACGCTACCAAGGCAGCGTTGGTGGTCGCGGCAATGCTCCGCCGTACGATTCGCGCGCGCCCCCTTCCACTTCTTCCTACGATCGCAACGCTCCAGCCACTTCTTCCTTTGATCGCCATCCACCATCTTCCTACATGTCCGGGCCGCCTCCATCGTCTTCGTTCGACCGGCGATCCTTTGACCGTCCCGGACCTGCTTCCGCCTATAGCTCGTACGATCATCGCCGCTCACCAAATGCATCGTTCGACCCGCGAGGGCAACCGCCGCCGCCCTCGTCGTATCCAGCGTCGGCGGCGCCGGCGCCGTTCTCGGGGAAGAACACCATCTTGATGGTGTCCATCTCCAAGATGGAGTACCCCGTCAATGTCGACGTGCTGCACCAAGTGTTTTCCAAGTACGGCACCGTGATGAAGATTGTCACGTTCATGCAGCGCGGCGAGTTCCGAGCACTCGTCCAGTTGCAGACGGCCGAGATGGCCGAGACGGCGCTGGGCGCCCTGAACGGACGCGAAATTTACACGGGGTGCAATACGCTGCACATTCAAATGTCAACGCACAAGTCGCTCAACGTGCAGTGCAACAACGACAAAATGCGCGACTACTTCAACCCGAACTTGCCGTCGGTCGACCCTGCCGAGCAGGTGGGGGAGCCACCCGCGCGGGGAATGCTCGGGGACGTGCCGAGAAGGGGTGGCTTCGACCCTGTCTCGGTGGACTCTCGGAATGGCCGCGAGTTTGCATCGCACCAGCCTCTGCATGGCGGTGGTGGAGGCCCGTACCAAGCACCCAACGCTCCGTTTCATCGAGAGGACATGCGCGGCGACACGCGGTCGGGATCCCGTCGCAGCCGAGACCGGCGCAGTCGGAGTCGCGATCGCGGCGACGTAGTCGGCGGCGAAGACTATCGCGGTCGATCCAGCGTTCTCATTTGCAGCAACTTGGAGCCGCATTTCGTGGTAAGGTCGCGTGCATCTTGATCGGCCACGTGTGGCTCTCATGGCGGCGGTAGAAATGCCACAGTTTGTTTACGTTGTTTGGATGCTTTGGCGACGTCATTCGCGTCAAAGTTATGTTTCGCAAGGCAGACTCGGCGCTCATTCAGTTTGTCGACGAGCGCCATGCGCAGTCGGCGCGGGACCACACGGACGGTGTCGTGCTCTGCGGTCGGAAGCTCCGCGTGGATTTTTCGAGGCATTTGACGGTGGTCATGCCCCGGCCGGATGCAGACGAGTTTGAAATTCAAAACACGCGCGACTTTTCCAACACGCCGTACCATCGGTACCGCAAGCGGCCGCTGTCGGAGGTCGTCCCGGCCACGACGTTGCTCCATATCTCGGGCATCCCGGTCTCGATGCAGCTGCAGCCGGGTGATACGGTCGCGTCGTCGCGGCTCCTTCGCATGTTTGCCGAGTGGGGCGTCGTGAAAAAAGTCCACCCGATTGCCAAGCAGCCCAAGATGGTGCTTCTTGAAATGGGCACGATCGAAGAAGCGTTTGATGCCATGATTGCCCTCGACAACTTTACGTTCAACGACGGTCGCATCCGGGTGTCGTTTTCCAAGTCGTACCAGCGACAGTAGGTGCTCAGGCCATGGGGTCTTGGCGCACGAGTTGGAGATCCTTTGCGCCCAAACGTCCTCCCCTCCTCCTGTGTCGCCAAGTGCTGCCATGATGCTCGCCATGGACGACGCCTATTCACTTTGCAGGGTCGGGAAGCGTGTAACTCAATCTGACAACCCTTGGGCAGGTCCACATAAACCATGAAATCCCGCACACTATAGCGAACACTGCATGCAATGCCGACAGCCCGATGGGAACCTCTTGGGGGGTGAAGCACTTGTAAGCATCGATGGCTTGGAGGCCATGCACGCCACCAGCGTCCCTCTGGTGTCGGTCGTGTTGCAGGGGTGGGGGGTAAGTAAGTGTGGGGGTGTGAGAGGGGCTGGAACCAACGTTTGCACACCACGAACAAGGGACTTGGGGCATCTTGTGCAACAGCAGAGTGTGCGGGTGGTGTCCATGAAGAGAGACTGGTTGCGACCGCGAGGCACCCATGCACCTTGGAACGATGGATGATTGCGTGTTCTGGGCACGATCGTGATCCACATGACGTTCCTCTTGCTGACACCGCCCCCCCATGTGTGGATGCAACGAGGTTGTCGGTGGATCGGGGGACAGAGCCCGCGAACGACGCCGGGGACTCGTTCCAGTCGACCTGGCAAAGTCCACCAGGACGTGATGCGGGCGCATGGATCCACGGCGCGACGTCGTGCTGACCGCTCGAGCGTGCGAAATCTGTTTCATGGTTGTACGTTAGACAATGGTACTGATTTGCGACTGGTAGCCTAGCAAGTTCATGTGACGGCGAAGTCGCTGCAGCTGAAGCGTAGGCACCCTGCACGTATTGCGCCGAGATCGAGTCATGCGTGAGCGAGTCCGAGGGAACGGCGTCGGCCACGGCGCCGAGAATGTCGATGCTCAAAACCTCCTCTTGCCACAAGTGTTTTCCAAAAGTGGTCGAGGTCCACTCCCACACAATCCTCATCTACTTTCAACCGTCCAATCTCAACCTGTGCGCCGTGTCGGCCATGGTGCGCGTTGTACATCTTGCGTCGGAGCAACCCGGTGTCGCATGGTAGTCTCGCTGGCCCTCGTAGGGTCGGCGGTCGATGGTACTGCTAGCCCGCGTGGGATTTGGCAACGCCGTAGCCACCTCCAAGTCCAACCTTGGCGTGCTGACGTATGCATGTTGCAAAACGTGCCCGCCCCCTACGCATGGTGCGAACAGCGCGACGGCATCGCAGGCACAGGCGAGTACGTAGCGGCGACGTCGACATGACGTCCGCAATGTCGCACGGCCGACCCGAGGTATGTAGTAAACAACAATGCCAAGCCCGTCGTCCACTCGGACGTGTTCGATGGCGAAGGCACGGCGCCTCGCGCAGACGTCTACCCAAGGGTGACGCACCAAGGGTTTTGCATGGACCATTGTTTGCGTTATGGCCAACTTGGCATGTGTGTAGCTCACTGTCAATCCATAAGGGCCATGAAGACTTGACGTAATCCCCACCTTCCGTTAATTTATTATTAACTTTTTTTTTAAAGTACTTTTATTATAAAGATCTTTTTATGATAAATTAGCAATTAGCAATTAAAAATAGGGGTTTCGCTCGTTAAGGGAATAAGTTCGTTCGCAGCCATGGTTGCATTGTGTTGTCGAGCGAGTGGCTGCAGTCCTGTGGCCGCTTAAACGAATGAAGAGTGCACACATTGTGGGTTATCGTGACAGTGGCTACGACGTTGCCACAGAAGTAACCACAGCGCTTAGAATTACAGCGCCAGACGCGACAACTGTCGTGGTCGAGCTTTGCGAAGGGGATGGAATGGGCGTCGAGGCTGCCGCGGCGATCGTTGTCGTAGGCACTGTCGCGTTGCATATTTTGCCACCCGCATGAGTGCAGGCACCGCCTGTGACGTTGAAGCAGGTCCCCCCCGACATGCAACTGTTGCAGACCCCCGTCGGGACTTCACACCCCGTGCCGTTTGTGCATCGGCATGGAGAAAGCAGCGACGACTGGACTCCAGGGCGGTGCACTTGGACGAGTGGGAAAACCACAGTATTGAGCGAACATTCGCCGCCGTTGTCGGGCGTCCACACAAACACATCACAGAATCGCTCTTGGGATCGGCAGAGCTGACAACATTCCTCGGGCGTCGGCCGACGGATCACTTGAGTGAACCCCTTGTGGTCGTAGTCAACGTCGGGGACCAGCGGCTGGCACGAATACGTGTCCATTGGCGACAGCACAGCACCTGCAGCGGACGGCATAACGAGAGCAAGACGTGCAGAGACCATTGTAGATTGGAAAATGCGTTTTTCGACACAAACTGGAGTTTGTGGGTTGGAATGGGCGGGGACAAAGAAACCACTTGTGTTCCTGAACACTGCGACCGTGATCGAATCGTTCACGACCGCATGGGAGCCTCGGGACTGCAGCGCTTGCACCTGTTAGCATCTTCATTTTCACAGACGAAGTCGTGGAGCTGGGCTCGAAGGCTTGGAACAAGTCGCCCTCGACGAGTTCTTTCGTTGGGGTCTTTACCGACTCGAGGTCAGAATGGGTTGGAATGCCCATCCATTCCAACCAAAGGCCTTGTGGGACGTATGGGACGTACCCAAGAAGAGGCAATCCATCCCTTGCGATTTGGGGCCCTCATCATTCCATTGCAACGAAGGCGTCCTCGTTCGTGAAGTGTGCCAAGGGGGTGGAGGGGTTTTATGGCGAGGGCGAAACGACGTCGTGGACTCGACGGATCCTCGTCATCTAAGCTGCAGCAATGCGCACGTTTACGTTGAGACTGGTTCCCAGCCCATCACGTCACATCACCTGGTTGGTATGGTGGCGATGAATCCCGTTCTCGTGTCATGAATGGTCAGAGAAGAGGCTTCCAACCTTTTACGATGCCTCAAGTCCTTGTCAAACCGAAACACATATTGCCTGTGGCCAACAACGATGGCCACAACAGTGCAGCTAGTACGCGAAGGAAGTCGCGTTGTAATGTGGCATCGCTCGTGCGCATGGTGGTCTTCGGCCGCATCAAGCACCCTCAGTGCCGTGCCCATTGCCACTAGTGTGGCTCGAGTCAAGACAGAGAGTCCTTCATCCCGAGCCAGAAACAGGAGGTACAAGCGGGAGCTCTGCCGTGTTTAGCAGCAGTTCGAAGAGGGCCTTGTCGCCGCCGCTGAGGGCGTGCTGCATCACGAGATTTCCTCGGCGGAATTTCTCCACCACATCGCAATATCCAACCATTGTATGCTGTACGTGGAACAATATTGGATATTGGAAGAGGGTCATCAACATGTGGGGAGTTATTCTGATCGATAGGTGCACACTTTTCCGGATACCAGGGATATTATCCGAAGTACCGCGAGCCAATCATTTCGTTTCATTCGTCGCTCAACGTCGAAGATGGCGGCGCGGCATGCGCAGTGGCGCCAAGTCGAGACGCACGCGACGGCAATCCGCGCAGAAGTGACACAGGATAGGTCGTCGTGCACATACCTCACGGGAGAGGAACTCCTTCGACAGATATGCGTGCGCATGCGTGTCCGGTCCTTCGACGACCTGAACCTTGGCGCGCCTCGTATGTTTGCACCAATTCGGCAAGTCTTGGATCTCGAGCACGACTTGTGGGAGTTTGTTGGGCTGTACGTGTCGCTTCGCGCGATTTCCACCGCCCATGACGCCGAGATCGATTTCTTGGCGAAGCATCGTGTCTCGACCTTTTCTGCTCTGGGCATTGGAAACACGTTTGCTGCTGCTCCTGCCGTAGTTTACCATTTCAATCTCCCAGTTGCGACCGCGGTGCTTCCATTAACACTGAAAGCTGTGTTAACCCATCTCGGTGAGTTTCGATACTTGAACCAACGGCACCAAGACACGGGAGCGTTTCTGGCGTTTGTCGCGACCAAGCTGGCCGTTCCTCGAGGCACCGTTCTCGGCATCCATGTCCAGAACCTCCAGCGAAGCATGGACCTCATGCGACGGTGCGAAGCATCTAAACTCTGTCCATATTTGACCCGCTCTGCAGGATTCAGACGGAAGAGCGCAAGCAAATAAACGACATCGAGAACGACTTCCGCCGGGATGTGGCGCACACTGTTTTCCAGTTGACCAAAGAAAAATTCAGCTCGGAGAACCGTGAATTGGCAGTCGCTGCCGCACTCGCGTCTAGCAAGCTGGACCTGCCGCGCGGCGAGCAAAAGGCAAACGTGTCGGTCAAGCTCGAAAGCGATGTCTTGAACCGCGTGACTGTGCTGGACGCTCATTTGGATCACCTCATCGGACGATACGCCCACCGCCTACCTAAAGACACGTCGCATGTCATTTCAAAGCAGGTGCGTAACGAACCCGGTGGATTCGGCACCGGCTGCCAGCACACCAGTCCCGACAAAGCTGTTGGAACAACCCAAGCGATAGAGCGCCAGCAACGAACAGCCTTGTCGTCGCGAGTTGTATTTCTCAACGTCGTCGAACGTTTGTGCGTAGGATTTGAAACTTCGCGCGCAGATCTGCCACAAAAAGCACGAGCGGTCGCGGTCGACGGTGGTCACGTGGGTCTTGTGCAGCATCATTGCCAAGTCGCGAGCCCTCCTAGATGCCAAATTGTCGCCCGAGGTGCGTCCCAAACGGTCCTGGAACTCCATCAACGGGGGTCTTGCTTTCTTGCATGCGCGTGATTGCGTTTACGGTCTGCAACGTGCACAGGGCCAGCCCCAGAACCGGTCGGACAACAAAGTGGCTGAAGACGACGAGGAAGAGTGTCAGTGCTGCTGTGTCGGCAAACCAGCCTGCACATGCAGCTGCACATGCACCTGCCACGCCGTAGACAGTGATTCTAACGATGACGACGAAAGCCTTGTCAACACCACGTCGCCCAATGTACCATCGATCCATTTCACGTGCGTCTATTTTCACGCTGGAGTAGGAAGGTCGAGATCAAGCACCGAGCACGAACATCGACATGGACACCGCTGTGCGAGATTTGTGGGCAGCGACACAACAAGCCCACCCCGACATGTCGATGTTTGAGGTACTGGAAGCTGTAGAGCGTGCTGCGCCCAAGACAGCCACATCCCATCGATCTCTCGTTCAAGTCCTGACATCGTTGGACCGCGACCTACCTCTCGTCGTACCACACACGTCTGCCTCCGTCGGCTTGTCCAGCGAGCAAGTAAACGCTTTGTGGTACCAGTGCCGCCTCGTTCAAAACGAATTTGATCACCCAGAGAGCCCATCCGAAGGGTTGCAATCGCTTGTCCACCATGCATTATCCGTTGAAGATGGCCGGAATCACCGCCATGGTACCCTCAAGACAAGCCTGACAACGGCGCCGTATTTTTCACTGTATTTTACCTCTCCCTTGACGGCGAGCGTGCCGCCGTCCAACTCCATGGCGGTGACAGCCCTTCTCGAATGGATCGAGGCAGTCCCGTGTCTGGTAGATGTCGAAGCAGCGGTGCAGTGGCAGGTGCACGACCATGGTCCGTTTGTCCAGTTTTTCATCACAAACTTCCCGCACGTTCCGTTGCTGCAGCTCCCATCGAAGCAATGCGTCAAGCTCGAGCCGAACGCCACGTTGGCCGCGCTGGCGGCGGTGCCGACGCCAGCGCAGCCCCATACCGTTGCAACGGTGTACACGTCGGCCTTTGTCCAAGAGCATGGCCGATGGAACTGGAACAACGTCCACCAAGCCCTTGAATCCTTCGTGTCGAGTCTCTGTCGAAACGACGTGCCGCCTTTTGTGCTTCGCGTGGTGCATTTTATTCCAGTCGAGCTCTGGCGACCGTTGGTTCCACCCCTCATCAAAGCTTTGGCGAAAGCCGTGCCCCATCCACACCAAGCGTTGGCGCTCGCCGCGGCGAACGATGTGGCAGATCGGTCCTTGTTGTTTCGATTGGGCATCGCGCTCAACATTTCGTCGTGGAATAGCCTTGCAACAACTCGAATCCCCGACATGGCATCCATCTCGAACGACAAAGGTTCATCGCAGCCGCTTTCAAATGCTTGTCGTTTGTCCGAGGCAGTTCAGCCTTCCGTAGCCGCAGAAGACACAACGAGGCGTGGTACTGTTCCAAGCAAACAGAGCGCTGCACACTCAGCTGAACCCGTGGAAGTTGTCCCCTCGACCGACGCATGCAGAGCTCTGATCCACGACATTCGAAAGCATTCGTTTGGAATTGGATTGCCCGCGACGATCGAAACGCAGGCATTCTTGCGGCTCCAGCAGAATCGCCTCGAGCGTGCATTGCAACGCCTCAGTGCCGAGTTGTACTCGACATCGACGCATTTCGTGCTCGAGTTGCTCCAGAACGCCGACGACAATGTGTATGACCATTCGGTTGCACCCTGTGCAGAGTTTGTTGTCCGCGAAGACGCTATTTCGTTCTTTTGCAACGAGTCCGGGTTCCAACCCGCGCATATTCGTGCGCTCTGCGACGTCGGCGCTTCGACCAAGACGATGGGCATGATCGGACAAAAGGGCATCGGGTTCAAGTCGGTCTTTGCTGTTTCAGATTGCCCTGAAATCCACAGCAACGGGTATCACGTGCGCTTCGACGCCCGGTCGACTCCCGGTGCGTGCTCTTGATGTTATGTGCTGTGCATGGCTTACCTTGCATTTGACCAGACAACGTGCGGTTCATCCTGCCGCACTGGATCGAGTCGCCCGCGGCCGAGTATTCCAACCAACCTGGGACGTGGTTCCACCTCCCCATGCGGGACATGTCGTCGACGGCCGCCGTGGCAATGCTCGACAGCATGGAGCCGTCGATGCTGCTTTTTCTCAACCAGTTGATGTCGCTCACGATCCAAAACCGTGTGGCGAAGACACAAGTGCACTATCGCAAGCAATGGGTGGCGGAAGAACGCGTCCAGCTGCACACAAACACGCACGATGTGCAAGCTTGGCATGTCCATCGACGGGAGGTCGCTGTTCCCGAGGCGTTTGCCCCACGCAAGGGCACCACGACCCGTCTGGAGCTGGCATTCCCGTTGACGCACGACGAGTCGGCGCTGTGCAATCAGCCCGTGTTTGCCTACCTGCCGGTGCAAACGTACGGGTTCAAGTGCATCGTGCAAGCGAATTTCGACTTGCCGTCGTCGCGGGAAGCCATCTTGGACAACGACTGGAACCAGTTTCTCCTGGCGCAATTTCCCACTGTTTTTGTCGACGAACTCGTCAAGCTCCTGCCCGAGTTTCCGCATTTGATTCGCATGGTGCCAGTGGACATTGCGCCGCCCTTTCACACGATGGCCCACGCTGTGTGTCGGCAACTGCAAGACCTGCCCATCATCCAAACGTCGTCGGGGCAGTATGTCCCCCCCCGCCATGTCGTCGACCAAGTCGAGACGGACCCGATCTCGGACGCGTTCCTGTGGCGCCATTGCCGCAAACACTTTATCGATCCCGCATTTTCACAGCTCATGCCACCTCAGGTACCGACGCTACCTGCCTGCTTGAATGGGCTTGACCCGACCACACTCGATTGAAACCTGACACCCTGGTGCGATTCGATGTAGCTCAAGCGCATCCTCGGGATCTTGCCGTGGAATGCTTCACACGTTGTCCAGCTTGGAAGAAGCCTCGCCGAGCCAAACGATGCCCCCGCTCCAACACTCATGTGGCTTGCCGCTTTCATGGACTTGGTGGCGACAATGAACCCAATGGCCGCCCAACTCCGCCCTCTGCACCTCTTTCCCGTCAAAATCCATCCTGGAAGCCACGACGACGTGATGGCCCCCCAGTATGCCCTGAAGTCCCTCGAGCACTCGCTGTTCTGCCCGCTTGACACAGCCGCGGCCGACGTTCCATTTGCAGACGAGCTCAACATTCTGCATCCTGACTATATGCATGCACTCGCCCCAAAAACTACGCGATTTCTGAGCGTCCTCGGGATCAAGCAGCTGACAACGCACGACATCTTGCAATTCCACTTGCTCCCGCTTGTCTCGACAAAGTTGGATGTCAGCGACCACTTGAAAGCATTGCGTTTTTGCATGCACGTTCATGTCGAGAAGCCCCTTCCTGCATCGTTGCTTGGCTTCGTGCGACGGTCCATTCAAGCGGTGACGTCCAAAGGCGATCTCGTGCCGCTCACGTCGTCCGATATCTTCCTCGAACCTGCAGAGTTTGCATCCCCAGCCTTGTTGAACCACGTGACGGTGGTGCCATACACGTCAGTCGCAACCTTTTCATTCTTGCATGCGTGTGGGGTGCCCGTGTTGCTATCTTTGCACCACCAACCCAACGCCAACACGATTCCCGGATTGAGCTCCGTTGTCGCCTCCATTGCCGCTGCCAGCGACGTCGCCGCGGCGACTTCGTTGATGCAATATTTGGATCGTCATTGGACAGCGCAGCATTCGTCGACATTTGCACCGACCGAACTTCAAGTCTTGCGAGCCGCGCGTTGGCTGCCGTCTAGTACATTGACGAGCGCCACGACGGAAGGCCAGTTGCGCCGCCCCCATGAGACCTATTTGAACGTTCCCGCAGGTCTCAAGGCATTCTTTCCCTCGCCGGCCTTGCTCAACCACGAGTTTGCCACTGCTTTGGCAGTCAAGTTTGGACTAGACGTCCCAGACTACCTGCATCTCTTGCAGCTGGACAACGTGGTCCACGACACCGTGGTCGATTGCCTTCTCGAGTTGAAGGCACTCGCGACGGGCCAGCCTGACGTCCTCAAGGGAATTCAATCCGTGCTCTCGGAAACTCCCGTTCTTTCCGTCAACAACAAACGAGTTCGACTCACGCAAACGATTTGGAAACCTGCGAGCGCTTGTCCGGACCTCGTGGGTCTTCGTCCGACCTTTCCCAAGTCGCTCAAGTCGTTTTTCCTTCAACTTGGTGTTCCCGCTAAGCCATCGGTGGCCGTCGCCGTCGCCACGCTTCAATCTATGGATGTCCCCGACGATCAGCTGCCGTACTTGAAATACTTGGCCGACCAGCCGATGGACGCGATGCCGCGTGAAGTGTCGGCGATTCCATTTCTCACGTCCACGAGTGGTCGAAAGGTCGCGTTTGACAGCGACCCGCTCCTGGCCGACAACGAACCATCATGGTGGCCACTTCTGATGCCAGAACACTCGAGGCCACTTGTGGTCACGTCCCACCCCGACAACACGGCGTTTGCTGGTTTCTGGCAATTCGGCATCACCCTCGTCCAGGATGTTCGAGTGAACCCACAGACGTGGAATACACTGCTCGACAACGCCATGATGCAGGCGGAGCCCGGCGCTCGTGCCGCTGTCGTGCAATTCCTTTGCTTTTTGCTCGATACATGGTCTTCTCCATCTGGCATCACGATCTCCCACCTCCCGACCCAACGCGGGACCTTTGAACCGTTTGCCACAGTGTTTGCGACCGCGACCACGAAAATCCGGCACCCCCAAGTCGTTGACGTTCCCGTTCGATACCACGACATATTGGCAAAGGTGTGGGGTCTGGCCCGGCTTCCCGTGAAGACGTCGGTGCTTTTCGATTCGTACGGCATGCACTTTGGCCGGTCGAGTCGTGTGTTAATGGGGGCATTGTTTGCGTAGAGCGGTGGACGATGCGGACCTGCGCGACCAGCTCGCGACAACTTTGTTCGCTGTAGCTGCCCACTTTAAATATTCCCACGCCGCGCACGAGGTACGCGTTCGCGTGGGCAACCGTGCAAGGCGACCGTGTTGTCCAACCACGGGTCCTTCGCGTAGGTGGATGCTCTTGGAACTTTCATGGACTCGATGCAGTGCTGGAAGACCGAGAACCTTCGCGTCGAGTACGAAACGTCGTCAACGCCTCACGACTCGACGGCGGGACAACGCGTGACCGAATCTCGACCGGTTGTGCTGCACGAGTGCAAGAATCTGTACGTTTCCACTCCAGTGGACTTTGCGCTAGTCGTGGTGACCGTGGCGTCCGCGATGTGGACTCCACTTGTCGCCAACGACGTTGCGAGCTATATCGACGGTTCCCAGCACCGGCAGCATCCGATGCTAGCCCCCGACTCGTTGAAGCGCCAGTTGTTTCCGATCGACCTGCCCCTGGCGAAGCGACCACGACCAGACCTTCGACACGCACACGACGCCGACCGATTCCGACCCAACTTGCTGACCGACCAAGCCAAGGTGGCCATCGGCCGCGTGGGCGAAGAGTACGTGTATAGCCTCCTCCGCGCCGAGTTCCCACCCGACCAAGTGGAATGGGTCAACCAAGTGGAAGAGACGGGCTTGCCCTACGACATTTGCATCCATCACGCGTCCGGCGGGACCGAGTTTATCGAAGTCAAGAGCACGTCGACGTACGACAAGGTCGTGTTCGAAATGAGCGTCCAAGAATTGGAGTACGCTACGCTCAAGGGGTCCCAGTACAGCATCTATCGCGCGTTCGCCATCAAACCCCATGGCGCTCTCCACGACTCGCGCGTCGTCCGGCTGCGCAACCCCATGACGCTTCTCCGCCACAAGAAGCTCCAGCTGTCAGTCGTCATGACGGAGGAAGCATGCAACCTGTAAAGACTAGACCATTCCAATTTCATTTGTGGAGGCATGCATGGCATTAAAACATCGGCGTCCCGTCGAGAATCGCTCCGTCGTGGGCTACGCACGTGCTTCTTGCATCATCCACGGGGCGACCTGTGGGCAGTCACCTCTGCCGCCACGGCGAGCAACTGCGATGTGGTGGCATCTCGTAGGGGTAAAGGCCTGCCGTGTGCTGCGCCTCGATTCGGTGGGAGCGACGCGCAAATGTGTTCCATTTTCGATTCACTTGGTGGGATGGTCGGCACGCCAGTGTTACGCGGGATGGCCATGCTTTCGTGTTTGGCAATTGTCGCCAACTCCATCGACGCAATTCAAGTCGATGCATATGCAGCTTGGGCGCACGAGCTCCTAGCATGGACTCAGAGCATCGTTGGCACTGGCGAGACCGACGCTTTCACGTTCACCCTGCACAACGCGACGGTGCGCTACGAGTCGACACCACTAGCCACGTCAACTCGTCCATCCTGCGCCGCTGCTAGCCATCTCGTACCTCCCAACCAAAAGGTAGTCAAGGCCATGCACGCGCTCATGAAACGTGGAAATGCCACCGCGGATGTCGACACAATTGCTTTCGAGATGCAGCGGGAAATGCAGACCGTGCCACCGAACATCCTCGATTGCTTCCAGAGCAACCAATCTGCTCACGTCGCACGCGGCGTGTGGGACGACCTGATTGTCCGATGTGCGAATGACTCGGTGGAATTTCACGCCCGAGGGAGCCTCTACAACGTGGACAAATCTGAATCCAAGCAAGCACAGGTGCAAGTCGACTGGTGGGGAAAAGATCGTGCGATCAAGTCGGCAGCCACGGTTGCAGCTTCAAGCAGTGGTGGTGCCGCCGACTCCACTGGGAAAGGGAGGCAAGTTGCCACGGACCGTTTGCACCAGTCCATGCAAAATTGCCTGGCTGACAAGCGCGGCATGCTGACGGTTCAATCCATTTTCGGCGGCGGGTGGTCCGTGCAAGTTCCAAACGAGTCCACCATCGTGGCTAGTTATGCCACTGCGTTCGAGCTTGTGGTGGCGCACGCTGGAAACAACGCAAGCGACACATGGGTTCGCTCGATGGCCGACGCAACCGCGACAGCACTCTATCGGGCGGGGCATGCATGTCACGCACCCTCCGTGGGAGGAGGGTGCTATCAAAACCCACCGCGTGCATCCCAACACGTTGGGATGTCGCTAGCAGCCACGTGGAAAACCCTGTCTTACCATCAGTTTTTGGTCGTGTACAGCGGCGCCATCGTGTTTGGTGTGCTTGTGCTCTTGAGCGCCGCTACGCTCGCCTCGACGCAGCGGCGACATGGCTACACAGCCATCCCAGATCCCATCGAAGTCGACTACGACTCGTGCTCATCTGACGACAATGACTACTACTAACCTCAATGCACTCTGTGCTCTCGACCCTGCCTACAATGAATCGAGCTCTGCACTATATAGAGCACAGGTGCGGGTCATGCCTCTACAGGATCCTCCGACGTGGCAAGCGTTAAACCTCGTCATTCTTTGCTTGGGTGGCTTGGGCATCACTTGGGGTTGTCATAATGTGATTTGTACAATGAACGGACCGTTTGACCTGCATCTACGAAGGCGGAGCGCGCAGTGGTGCTTGCATGAGGCGCATCTGTAGGTGACCTGGGCAATGCCACGCTGATCGGGCCATCTCCGATGCTCTCCCGCTGAGAACTCAAATGGACCAATCAAAAGGTTCAAAACTGAAAAGATGCATCTTTTTGGCCAATCAAAGCACGAAACCCGGGCGTATTTGCCTCGTGCAATTCTGGGATGGCAAGCATCCTAAACTGCATCGCGACACCGCGGGCGACCAACGTGCGATGCGAGGTGGCGTCGAGGGCGTTTGAAGAAGGTGTGTCGAAGATAAGCGTCCGAGAGCAGCAGCGTCAGGCACTGAACAACGCGAGACAGCTTGTTCAGACGGCACGTGAGCGACAAGCGCAAGAATGGTTGACTCGCTTGACCGCCCGCCGGGAAGCCATCGTGCGCGACATTGCCCGCACCAACGCCCAAATCACGTTGAAATCCAACAAAATCGATGAGCTCGATCGTGAGCTGCTCAACTTGTCCAAGGTTTAGTAAGAGACCGTTTGTGTTGTGAATCCTGACGATGTCTCCTCGCACATGCGCACGGTGGCTCGCCATGGACGACGCATTCGAGTGGAGCACACCACAATTTCATTGTCGCGCAGATGCAGCCACGGACCCGACGCTGAACTATGTTTCAGCGATGGAATTTGTATCCTAGCGCCGATGGCTAGCTTCCTTCGCCACCACGTCATCAACCTTCCACCGAGCAGATAGGGCAACACTGCACCTGTCTTGTTCAAGACTCTGTATAGATATCCCAGCGCCGTGGGTGATAGAGAGCGCGCACTCTCCTTCCGAGCGGACGGCAATATCATGGGTTCGCTTCGAGGAGCTTGCATCGTTCCTGGAGGATCCGCAGGTCGTGGGCGACCTTCTTCGCCTTGAGTTCTTGGACCATCCGGTCTTCTTGATGCTTTCGAACGAGATCCTGTACTTGCTTGAAATGTAATTTCTCCTGCGCCTCCATTTGGTCGATCGCGTGCTTCGCCTTGACCTCAAACGCTCGCTTCATCGTTTCGAATTCTGCCTTGACGACTTGTTCGAACGTGTCCATCGCTAGCACCTGCCGCCGACGTGAGCGCGCCGGTCGCCAAAACGACGTGCCTACCTCCGAATCGCTGCATTGGGACTGGATCAAGTTGCGCTTGTCCTGTTGGAGCTGGTCGATCGTTTCCAAGTGGCCCGTGATCTCGACGTTCAGCCTTGCGATGGTCTGGTGCAGCACCGCTTCCTGCAGCTCGCGCTGGACACTCGCTTCGTCCAGCTGGACTCGGAGTTGCTCGATGGTGTCAAGGCGACCGACGGCCACCCTACGTCCGCGATGCAGATAAAATGCTTGCACCGGTGGTGGGCTTACGATTCCAGCGATGCGATCGCTGCCTTGGCGTCTGCGAGCTGGTCGTGCATCGCGCCAAGTTGCCGCTCCATGTGGCATGCCGACGACGCGGCATCACGGGTTCTTGCCGCCGCACTCGACCGCAAACAAGCCAGGGTGTACCCAACCTGTTGCAATGCCGCCGCGATGGCCTTGGCGACTTTTAGACCCGAGATCCCGTCCATGTCGATGGCCGTCGCTCCGCTCTCGTCCAGCCCAACGAGCCTGCGTGACCCATCAATACGATTCGTGCATGCGATTCGACATCGCAACCATCGTTCCACGCGCTGCACGAGGGCGTCGTCCTCTTCCGTGAGCGACGTCACCAACCGTTGGAGCTCCGCAGTCGACTCTTGAAGCGCTGTGTGCTTGTCCTGGACACGCTGCAGTTCCGCCGCATGCGCCGCGTCGCGCTGCGCATCGCGGGCGTCCATCTGGGCTTGGAACCGGTGCTGGATTCCGTCGAGTTCGGCTTTCCAGTGCCCAACCGTGGCTTGCCCATCGTGAACCTACGTCGGTGATGAGGCGGTGGAGCTGCATTTTTGCGTGGCACTGGCGTACTTGAGTCGCCAAAGCGTCCTTTTCCTCGAGAAGCGTGCGCATGGCAGCGTCGTGACGGCGGCATTCTTGCTGCAACAGGTCTGTTTTGATCGTCGCCGCCTCGAGGTCGTGCGCCGCGCGGCGCAACGCGCGCTTCGTCGCATCCACTTCGTCCTGTAGGGCCATGATCGTGTTGTTTTGAGACGAGCATTCTTGCTTGAGGACGTTCGCTTCACGGTGCCATCGGTCTTCCGCTTCACGATATTTCACGTCGAACTCCATCGTCAACTGAGACAGCTCGCACTGCAACTGCCCGATGCGTGCCATCAACGCTTCCTCTTTGCCATGACGTGGCTCGACGTTGTTGGTGTCGTGGGATGGCGGGCGCGGCACCTCTCCGTCCAGGGTGTTGTTTCTTGCGATCGTGTGCAGGAGCACCAGCCTAAGGGGGGGCGGTCAGGCGGGGAATTGAGGGAGGTCGACCGGTCGATGAGCGCCAGGAACGTAGGCAAGCGAGAGAGCGTCGCTGTCGGTGCCGTCGACTGCTCGGGCTGCAACGAAGTGCTCTACTCGTCCGTCAGGTGTGCATGCGAAGCGGATTCGCTCTTAGTTACTTGGAGCACGAGCTTTTCAAGAACTTGCATCTTGTGGTCCACAAGGCCATTCAAGGCAATCTAGTGCGATCACAGTCCCGTCGACACCACACCCGGTCGTTGACGCATCGATGCCTACCTTCATCGACAGCATGCACACTGCTTCTTCCATGGAAGCGTAGTTTTCGCGGGCGATGACGGCATCGGCACTCGACGTCTAGACAGCCAAGTGAACGACTTGAATCCAGATATGGCGACGTGTGTCGTGGAGTTGCTCACTTGCGCTAGGATCGCCTTGATCTCGTGATCGTACGTGGGCTTTCCGCTACTACTATCGCCATGGAGCCACTCGTTTTTGCCACGGACGAGTACCTCGTCGCGACGGCGCCCCAAAGTCGCTCCAACTTGTCACTCTTGAGCTGCAATAGCATCACATCCGACTTGAAGGCGGTTGTGAGCGCCGCATCGCTCACGGTAGGTCGGCGAGCCGAACTTCGCGCACCGGGGACAACCGGCAGCTTGTTCATCTGTGGGGTTTCAATTTCATTCTCGCCAACTCGACTACCGCGACCTGTGCTGAGAATTCTGCCCCCCGATGGCAAGTCAGCATTACCCTTTCTTCCCTTTCATTGCAACGGGAGGCGCGCTCGAGCCGTGCATCGTGGTGCGATGGTACGCTATATTTAGCAACGCCTCGACGGCAACGAAGCGCCTTGCCCTCGATGAAGGTTGCTGCAATGCTGTGTCCTGCGTCCATTTGTCGAGTTGTAGCGCCATCCCGAGCCCGCATCTTCCATGCTACCCCCTCAGGCAGGATCGTTGATCGATCGTGTATTAGGTGCATTTACGGCTGGACGGGTTGGTAGCTCTCGAGCGAAATGAGATCCGCTGACGCTACAACTTGGAATTGTCGCCAGTCGGCGTCGCAAAGACTTGGCCGCCGTCCACGGCCAACACAGTTCCTGTGATCCAGCCCGCGGCTGGGGATGCTGTGGACAACCACGGTGAGACTTTGATACTATTCCATTACGCCGCACGTACCAAGGAAGAGGGCAGGACCAGCCATGTCGGTGGGGCTTCCAGGACGTCCCAAAGGAATGGCAACGTCGGCTATCTCCTGGAATCTACGCCATCACGTGAGAAAGAATTGCGGCAGGTGTTTGCCGCACTCTTTGCCAGTGGCCGTGGCGATTTGCTTGCTCATTTTGGTCGGTACCAGCCCTGGCGCGATGCAGTTGACTGTGATTTGCTTGGGAGCTAACTGCACCGCAAGCGCACGGGTCATGTGGTGGATTGCGGCTTTCGACGTGTCGTATGCCAACGTGCCCAAATCCTGAGGTTGGAGACCAGCGATCGACCCGATCATGATCACACGCGCATGAGTTTGAAGAAGCGGGAGCATGAACTTGGTCAAGAAGAACGGCGCCGTGACGTTCAGATCCATCACCTTGCTCCACGCTTTGGCGTTGTGGGTGTCAAAGCCCCCACCCCAAGCTACACCCTACCGATCGATGAGAGCCGCACCGAGTGACCGGACGCACCGAGTTGTTGATGAGCACGTGGAGTTTGGACTCTCGCTCTTGCAACGCATTCGCAAGGAGTTGGCAGCCTTCGATCGTGCTCACGTCTTGGGGAAGCTACAGAATGGGAGCAAGTTACGATGAGGATGGTTGTGAAGAGACGTTGGAGGATGTACAGGGATGCACTTGCCCGGGCCTAGAGTACAACGAATAAGTACGATGTCGCGACGTTGCTGGACGATGTCGCACCCATGGCACTGAGTTCGGCGGCAGTCTCTTGGCACACCTTGTCGCTCCGAGCTGATATGTATACTTTGGCGCCGTTGCGGACAAATCCCTCCGCCATCATCTTGCCGATGCCGCGAGACCCACCCGTGATGAGCACCTACGTGCGCATCGATTGACCTCAGGGAACGGGACGGCACGGCATCCATCGACCGACGTACAACTTGGTTCTTTACCCCGAACAGCGCGTTGATCTCCATCGTCCTTGTTGACGAATACACAAAATGTCGGCAAGATTGTCCGGATAATGTTCATCCGGTTGCACATGTGCCGAGTTGGCGGCACGTTTCCAGGCGAACGGCCGATGTCCCCATGTGACTGCAAGAAAGTAGTGCAGACATGGCCCAGGGCGATTGTAGCGGCGTGGTGCGCGGTGTTTTTGGAGCCTGGTTGGTGGGGGGAACGTGTGCATCCTTACCCTTGTATATGCTACACTGCTTCACTTCGAAACAACAACTGGGGAGACCACAACAGAGGAGGTGTGCCATGCCATATTTAACTGCTTATCTGCTCGATTCGCGGCCAAACTTTGCTGGAACGTTCTTCATTACCGAACTACAACTACGTAGCGGTGCCCGAGCTCGCCTAGTGAGTTCGCGCCAGTTTGTGATGTAGTTCAAAGTGACCAACGAACGAAAGGACCTGGTGGTTGTTCTAACAAGTTAGTGCACCAAGACAACGCGTGG